TCAGTTTATTGAGTCTCTTCCTGTCCCTGTCTGCCACCTCTCCAGCAGACCACAGCATAAAATATGGCTGAAGCAACCTCAGAGTCATAAAAAGTCTTGAGGAGAGCCCTGCACACTCCAAAGGACCTCAGTCTCCTCAGCAGGTTGAGGCGACTCTGGCCATTCTTGTAAAGAGCATGGGTGTTGTCAGTCCAGTCCAGTTTGTGATTCTGTACCACCTCAATGTCCAATCCCTGGATGTTCACCAGGGTGAAGTGGGATGTTTTCCTCCTGAAGTTAACGATCATCTCCTTCGTCTTGCTAGTGTTTAGCTGAAGCTGGTTGAGCTCACACCGGCTGACAAAGTCACTGATGACAATCCTGTATTCCAGTTCGTTCCCCTCAGAAACACATCCAACAATGGCTGTGTCATCGGAGAACTTCTGGATGTGGCAGTGTGTGGTGTTGTGGGTGAAGTCCGAGGTGTAAAGGGTGAAGAGGAAGGGAGAGACACACAGTGATGGAGCCTCACATTCTGTGGTCTGTTGGTGAGATTGTCGATTGTCCATGCAGCCAGGTGTTGGTCCACTCCCACACTTTCCATCCTCACACTTGAAAGCACTGGAGAAGTCAAAAAACATATATGTCACTGAGTCAGTTTACTCAATGATAGAAAAGGGCTACCTTAAGGAGAAAGGTTGGGAACCACTGATATTTTTTCCCCCATAAAAAAGTATAATTTGCACATTAAAATCCTTAAACAGTCATCTACTCCTTCTACCTTATTAAAAATGTCAGAATCTATAAATATGCAAATGTTGTTAATTTTCTGTAAAGTCCATTCTCAGTGGATGTGCACTGGTGGCTGACATGACAAATCATGCTGGCCTTAAAATCAGATTTTCAATGAGCACGGAGAAACTTTCCACTTAAGACTCTTTATTTGCATTTTGCTGTAAGTTGTCAGCAGAGTGCAGCATTGTTCAACTTTTCTCACAGATGTTCCTCGGGTATGGAATCCCATTTCCGCCAATTTGACGAAACAAAAAAAAGTATCATGTAAGTCTTTATAATTAGAAACTTTCTCAAAATAATGGCTTAATATCTCAAAAAATACTTTTTTGTTCAAATCAATGACATAATTAGCCACTATTACATATCTATCTATATATCTATTACATAGATTTGTATTCATTAATCATCAAATATTTTTAGAATTACTAGGATAACTGAAGTCAAATAAACAATAATACACACAATAACACACATTGTTCTCTATATCATTTAGACCTATCCCTTTTAGACTACTGTTTTTTTTATCAGCAGTAATCTAGATTCCTGGACTGCCATCATGCAGTAAGGCATTCTATCATGTTCAACTTTACTTGAACTGCCTGCAGAACCCTTTGGCCCCGCCCACACTCGAACTGTCACAGGTCACAGCATCAGCATGATCCAAACTGTGAGTGTGCAGTGGCAGGTTTATTAATAGATGAAGGCTTGACATTTAATGGCTGATTTACTAAAGGGACAGGTTGTGTGTGAATACTTCTTTTTCGTCTTAAAGGTAGCCTTTTTACCCGGCTAATCCATATCTATTCATTTTATTCATGCTCTCGTTCTGCATGCTAAAACCTATTTATTTATTTGTTTGGTTAAGTTTGGCTATTTTATTATAAAAAAAAGTATTTGTATTCATACTAGGAGTATTTCTGTCTGTCCACTCGTCACTTTGGACGCTAGTCCACTAGGAGTCACCAAAGCTTTGTGGATGTCGCAAGGCCTTATATATACGTACACAGTATACCTATATCTCAACATTTCATTAATTTCTGTGGAAAAAACTAAATTAAATTGTTATTTTAAAAGTTACCATTATTATTAAACTGAAGATCTGAAGCCCCTGAACACAAGCTATATAGTCTTCACTCTCTGATAAACAGCCTTGTCCAGCATTAAAACAGTATGCAATTAAAACAGCCAAAGAGCTAAGAGAACAGTGGCCAAGTTTTAGGGAAAAGAAACACTGAATTTGTCAAAAATTAAATAAATATATAATACAGACAGAGAATTGTATAAAAAGTTCCTAAAAATATTGTCTCTGACCAATATTGAGAGGAAATATTCATCCAAATCTCTGGTTATACACAAACTTCCTGCAGTTATTGTGTTCACTGTTTGGGTTCATTGTACAGTTTATCTGTTGTTCTCTGTTATTGTTATACACTGAATATAATATAAAAGTATACATGAAATATGCCATTTAAGGAAAAAAGTTGGGAAGCACTGACATAACAGACTGTAATCTCATAAAATCATACTGGCAGATTGGGATACAATATGTTGAATACATTCATTCTCACAAGAGGGAAAGTACTCAGATCCTTTAAAGGTTCCAATGTCTAACATTTAGGAGGATCTATTGTCAGAATTGGAATATAATATTCATAGGTACTGTATGTTTTCATTACTGTAATCACCTGAATATAAGAATCGTTGTGTTGGTTTAGAATGAACTGTTTTTATCTTCAAAAAAAACATTACAAAGTCTGCCATGTTGAAGACTGGTTTAACTTTCACGCTACGCTACCCAGACTGGGAGCCCAGAGCACTGGGGCAGCGTTGGTGTTAAAGGTTACATCTCTGGTACAGGACCTTTGGAACACTGGAACCGCCTCGATCTTCCTGTCCATTATCAGCAGTTAGCTTTTAGCTAATAGATAGAAGTAAATGTCTATCAGCAAACTCTGTAAACCCTGAGAGCTGTGGCAGAAAAGCGCATGATGTGCGAGGAAAAACAGAAGATATGTAACTAGTGTAACTATAACGGCTTCAGCAAAAAAAGGCATTTTGAGAGTTTATGATAGCTCCAAATCTGGACAATCATTTCCTGCCCTCCATCTACAGTTCAGAGCAAGAACACAGTGACGTGACATTATGTGCAACAAAGCTTTGTCCAGGTATGTGACAGTGTAGTTAAGATTAGCTCTCTTGTGTTCATACCAACACCTCCGATGCGGTTGATTACCTGGTTGTTTACATTCTCTGGTTTAGTTAAGATAGTGAGAACTCTATCCTTCAATATCTAGTGCAGTATAAACAACCATCTAAGAATCTGGAACTGGTGACATTGCTGACTGCTTTCAAATAAGTCCAACCTGTTTACCTTTGCTTTTAATTAATTTTCTTTTAAAGCAAATGTATGTTTATTATTGTCTTTACTCTGTGTGCTTTTGCTTGCTTGTTTTTGTTGTTTTCATAAATTTTGGGTTCACTTAGGTATGAAATGTGCTATATAAATATGTTTGCCTTATCTTGCTTTGCCTTGAAAATGATGCTATTTTAACAAGAAGACAAACAACAGATATAAGGATGTTACACACAAATTCAAACAAATTCCATTTAAAGTACTTTATTTGTCCTTAAGGGGGAATTTAAGGGAAGTATGCAAACAGAAAAACTATCAAAAGCAAAAGTCTATACCCAAGGTAAACTGACCATATAATGACTGTTCACAAGTCTTATGGCTTCCTTCTATTTGTTTTAGATATATGCAGTCTAAAATGCAGATGGCAGCAGCTTTAAATGTGTTCGTTGATAATCTTAAATGCTTTTTTAAGGACTTTGATTATAAAGCCATACCCAGGATTTGGTCTATTTTGTCCATTCTGTCATGTCCAATATGACTTTGAGTGTTTTCCAAGGATAACAGTAGCAGGAGTTTCCAATTTGTCTCTTGTTCATGGCAACTATTTCCCATATGTTAGAGGATAAGATGCCTAATTTATTTTACTCTTTTTTTAGCATTCTGTTATTTATGACAGATGAAGTTCCTCTGCAAGTTCATGTAGGGCTGATGATGACCAAACCAAAACCTATCAATTTTTGTCAGTTTGAAATAAATCATTGAATAGCAGCTGATAATTAATATATATAGTATATTATATATAGTATCACCTTCTGACAGTATGATAATACCAGAGCAGTCTGTAAAAAATGCCAAGAGATGACTGCACTTCTTTCAAAAGCTAGATGGGTGAGACTCACAATTCCATGGTAGAGGTTTGGTCACAGTAGATGGTTGGAGCGTCTCCCTTACCAAAGGCTAGGTCTAACAGGCTGAGCAAGTCTGACGTCTGTCCTGCCATCAAACTGCAAAAGGTTATATATAGAAGATTTGGAATAAAACCGCAACATTTTTCATCTACATTGGTGAATTAAAGATTTATTTCAACTTTTTAATCTTGTATTCTAATGTGCTCTTTTAACTTTCCTTTTATTTTATTATTTATATTTTTACTTACTTCTGTTTTTTATCTGCTAATTTACTTTTTCAATTCAATTCAATTCAATTTTATTTGTATAGCGCCAATTCATAACAGAAGTTATCTCAGGACACTTTTCAAATGGAGCAGGTCTAGACTGAACTCTTTATAACATTATTTACAGAGACCCAACAGTACCACCATGAGCAAGACCTTGGCGACAAGGGCAAGGAAAAACTGCCTGTTAAAAGGCAGAAACCTAGGACAGATCCTCCGGCTCTAGGTGGGTGGTCGTCTGCCTCGAAACTTTGTATTGCTTATGTGTATGACTGAATAAACCTGCCTTGCCTAATAGAGGGAACTGATGATTGCGCAACAGTTTGTAGCATGCTTAAAGGAAACGAAGAGCATAGCAGTTCAAATGCATATATTCTATTATTTTTATGATAATAAGGGGCAAATAAATAATCAGTATCTCTTGATTGGTTGATTCTCTCAGTCTTTTATTGACCTTTAAAGGTTCCTAGAGAAACAGTATTCATAATTCTCTCCAACAATTGTGTGAATTAAAAATGTTCTTTGACACTTTACTTCCTTGTGCCAGCACCTGTCAGAGTGGGAAATGCCTGGAGGATGGCATCTGATGCATTAAAAACATTCTTTCAAGTTCCTGTTCTAAAACAGGTTTCCTGCCTGCATTGTATCTAGCACCTCCCAAATTGCATGTCAGAGATTAAGAACGTTCCTGCACATCCCTTGAGTGCTTTGTCACCCTTTCAAGATGCAGAAGCGCATGCTCTGCAGCCTCCTCTCGGCTCTGATCATGTTGACTGGAGTCCCTGCTTGTGTGGATGGATGTGACTACAAAATCTGTGGGGCCCACGCTCCTGGGGACATTGTGATTGGTATACTGTGGCCATGTCATCAGAAAGTGAAGAATCTTCACGAACGGATCAGACCTGAAAGCTTCCACTGCTCAGAGTGAGTTTGAGAACAAATACATTTGTGTCAGGAACTGTATCTTTCTTTCAAGTATGTGTGTAGACACTTGTTATATACAGTTCACAACATGAACACTTACTAATAGATAATAATAATGTAATACAATGAATTAAAATGTTGAAAGGAAACTATATATGTGTGTATAGGCATAACTTATTAACTAATTACACATTTTTCATTAGTTTTCATTTGTGTAGTGAGAGACATAAGCTCTGGCTTCCATCTACATTTTTTTTTGTCATTGCTGTGATCTCTTCTTTGCTTAATCCATTAGTTTTCTGCCTGTGAGAGCACTTCTCACATTCTCATTCTCATTATTCTCTTTTTTTAATTATTTATCTTAACTTTAATACTGAAACAAATCAATAAAAATAATTCCTTCCACAGTTAATTGAAACTGTAAATCCTAAATGGCTTTCTAAAATCACATCACTGCATAAAATCCACAAGTAGTTTCACTTTGGCTCATATTCCAGATTTCAGAGGGTTTTACTATGCAACTTACTTCCTTATCTAGCAGGGGTCTCAAACTGCTGGTCCATTGGCCATTTTCCGGCCCTCCAAGGTTCGAATTATAGCTTACTGTTCTTAATACCTTTATTTTGAAAACCGGAAGCGAATACGCTGTAAATTTAAGTGTGGCTGATTTGACCACGCAGATCGGAGTAACGACTGGCTTGACCGCAGTTATCATATCACAGTCATTATCTCAAATTAATTATATTGTTATCTCTGGAAAACAAAGTTTCGTTATATCGAGATCTCGAGAAAATGAACTCGTTATCACGGGAAAACAGAGGAAATAAAATGTATGAATGCATGGCCCTTTAGGGCTTCCGTAATTTTCTAGTTGTTTTACATCAATTTAAACTACCCATTCATTTATAGTTTATAAAATGTATTTTGTTTGCCTACAAATGTGTGCAGTTGAACAGTTGATAAGAAGAGAGCAGGTTTCAGGCTTTTATTTGTGTGGCTGCGAACAACAAAGATGATATAAAATGATTATATAACAATGTATTAGTACTGTAAACATTTTCCGAATATTGCGCTTTCTTGTAGGACTTGAAGTGGCCCCAAGCCAATTTAAGTTTGAGATCCCTGTTTTAAAGGTTATACAGTATATACAAAAAGAATTTGCCACTAGATGTCGCTCTAGAACACCATCATCTCAGACCAAAACAATGGGCGCTACGGCTGACCAGACTCCATTGACAACACCAGTAATTTTACCATGCAGTTAAACAAATCTTTACATTTATAAAACAGTATAACAGTAATTTGTTTGTTTTCTTTTGCCACAGTTGCTCAAGCACAGATAGATTCATGTGTGTTTACATTGTCCATTTTCAGTTTCGATCTACAATCATTTATGATATCCCTGGCTGCAATCCACGAAATTGAGGAGATAAATGCAGCTGGCTTCCTCCCAGGAGTGCGCCTTGGGTATTTGATGTGTGACACATGCACGTATGCAAGCAAAGCATTGCAGAACGTGGAGCACATGCTCGCAGTCAACAACTCTCTAAATGTGAAGTGCGACTACAGCGACTTCAGGCCCACAGTCAAGATTTTTTTAGGATCATTGTACTCTGAGGTGTCCATTGCTGTGGCCAGACTGCTGACTGTGTACATGGTCCCTCTAGTAAGTCACAAATACTGTACATGTTACTGCCAAGTACTTGTTGTTGATTAGGTGTACCAACATTCAAAGATGTACTCCTTCATTTTTCAAAACATAGTCTGCTGGGTGAAAATTATGGGATTTAGGTGACCTTTCTAGGAGTGTACCTTCACAGTGGTGATTCTCAAATTTAAAGGTCCAGTGTGTAGGATTTAGTGGTAGTTTCAGATCGAAACTCCACCACTTCAACCTAGAAGGAGAAACTACAGTTGCTGTGAAACGTGTGAAAAATGCAATCACCCTCTATGTAAGGCGATCCATGGCATCTGTAGATAAAACCTGCTCATTTTAAGAAAACAAAAACACAACAATCTTTATTTTCAGGTGATTATACACTAATGAAAACTTACCTATGAATATTATTTTCCATTTATAACAACAGATCCTACTGAATGTTACACACTGGACCAATCATGTTTCCAATTCATGTTTAAGTTAAGTTTGTGTTCATCTCTAATTTATTACTCTGCTCTACTCTATTACTCTCATTATCAGCTGAGCAGCACATCATCTTCACCAGAACTCAGTGATAAAATGCGCTACCCAGTTTTTATGCGCACTATTCCCAGTGATAAGCATCAGACCAAAGCAGTGGCCAAAATGATGCATCACTTTGACTGGAACTGGGTGGGGGTTGTGTATGGGGATGACGAATATGGCAGAGCAGCTTTCCAGAGCTTTCTCAGGGATGCTGAGGAAAATGATGTGTGCGTGGCCTACCAGGAGATGTTGCCCCAATACCTTGGTCATTCACTCAGCATGCAACTTATCAAGCAGGTTGCCCAGCAGATCCGCTCCTCCAGTGCCCAGGTGGTGCTGCTAATCCTCAAGGCAGAGCTGGTGAAGGTCCTCTTTGAGGAAATGATCAGGACCAACACATCAAGAACCTGGATAGCCAGTGACGCCTGGTCTCGGGCCAGGTTCCTTGCCCAAATGGATGGCATCAACAAGGCTGGGGACATATTGGGAATTACCTTTGCTTCAAGCAAGAGCGAATCATTTGACAATTATCTGAAGAATCTTACAGCAACCCCAGGAGGATATAACCATTTCATTGAAGAATACAAGAATCTGAGATTCAACTGCACATCAGAATGTTTCTCAAACCAGCCTCCTTCCTACTGTGCCACACCTGACCTCCTGAAAATAAAATCTGGCAATGCATGCAATATCAAGGATCCTCAAGAACAAAATGATGATTATCTTGTAAAGACTCTCGATACAAGTGAAGCCTTCCCTAACAGAATAGCAGTGTGGGCCATAGCAAATTCTCTCAAAAAGCTACTAAAGTGCAATAATTCATTATGCTTGGGAGAAATTAACTTCCCACCATGGAAGGTAAGAATTTTCAGTTGAGAACAGAAATTGAATTTGAAATGTAGCTTCCTTGTATTTTAGGAATTACAATCTAATGTGATTCCTTTCCTTAGAATTCCTATGAATAACAGTTAAGGAAATTGTCTGTTAAACTGACCAGTCTGTGTAAATGTTCAACTTTAATTGTACAAACTGTTGCTTTGCAGGTTCTTCAAGAACTGAAGAAGGTTCAGTTTGAGTTTGACAACCAGAATTTCTTCTTTGACGAAAATGGTGATTTTGTAAGTGGTTATGATCTGGTCATGTGGGAAAGAGATGGACGCTACAGAAGATTTCAAAGGATTGGGAAATACCTTGTCCTTAATAAGCAAATAGAACTAGAAGTGGAAAATTTCAACTGGCTCTCAACAGCCAATACCACGGTAAGACAACACCTTACTCACAGCATCCACTCACGGGTCTGTGGGCTGCAATAGACAGTGTAGTCTTTGTCTGCCTTTAGGCCAGACAGTACCTGACCAAAGACATTAAGTTCCTCAGTATACTTACTGATACTTACTAAGTGCCTGTCAGATTATTCGTTCGGGTCACATGACGTCACTGTAGCTTTGCGCCGCCATCTTTACGACCAACTTGGGCCGATCGCGCCATAGACAGTAAAAGACTGCGCAGTGGTCACAACAGCTGACAGTTGACCAGTTGCACATTTTGATTTGTTATTTGTTATCATGTAGGGCGGCTAATTAAACATGATGCCTTGAATGCAATAGAATGTGTTATGTTTTTATGTGTCGGATGGTGGGGGTACGCAAGCCGAGTCAGCATGTGCGGGAAAAAAAGTTTGGGAACCGCTGCTCTAGCAGAAAGTGCTCACTAGCAGAACTGACATCAACAATGATCAGAGTAATCCACCACAAACTGTTCCCATAGAGTCACAATCGCCTCGTTTCCCTTCATGTTCTTTCAATGAGTATAAACCATGGACTGTATAAAATAGGTATAATCACATCTGACATTAAAGAACATTATCCAGATTAATGACAGCTAGCTGTGAGCTAAGTGACACTAAGATGAGTGGTAGCTTGCTAACTGTTAGCCACTCAGCTAACAACTCGTTACCTAGTCAGAGTAAACTACCACCAAAATCATACATTTGAATTTTTTTATATAATACTTACATTTCCCATGATTAAATATAAATCCTCGGTGGCCAGGTGCCGCACCTTCACGTCTTTCACCCATCCAGCCACAGCATACTGATAAGCATCGGTACTCTTAAAAGCCTTCAAGCTATCCCCACTGTATGGGGGGGTTATGCACAAGATAAATGTATATATCATGGAAAGCCAATTGGGGCAAGCCTGGGGCAGATAATAAGGGACAAAAGAAAACTGGGGGTAACAAATAAGGATTGGAGCCTAAAATTGAAATTTTCTCCAGATATCTCTGTCTCTCTCTCTCTCTCTCTCTCTCTCTCTCTCTCTCTCTCTCTCTCTCTCTCATTCGAATGGGCAGTGTGGGCGGCCGTACTGGGAGAGATCGGTCGTGAATATGGCTGTGGTTTATTTGATAGTGACGTAGGTGGCATCTATGAATACTTATACTATACACACTCTGTTTCCGATGATAGAATCATCATAAACAATTTTTGTACCTTTTCTGAAACAGCCAATCCTTCAATAACGCCCACTATGCGCAGTAATTGAGTATATTGTTGTATAGGTGTGAAATTAGTGGTCCTCCTCTATAGATATCCCTGCCGTTGAAGTCATGTGACGTAGTATAAAAAGCGAGAAAGTCAGCATATGGAGGTGTATGGATAAACACAGGACTTTTACCAAAAGTAAAAAAGATGTAAGATACCATAGGTAACGTACTTAAGTTAGGTCGGGTACATTACGTAAGTTATATTTTATTCATGCACTTATGTCAGGTACGTAATGTAACTTTATTTTATTTTTATAGTCTTACCCAACATTGCATATTTATTATTGTTAACTTGACCAGAAGTTGTGGACATTGCATATTTATTCTTGCTAATTTGACTATGGAGCCCTGCTCTTGACTATATGACAAGTTAGGAGTGAGAATTTGTTGGAACAATTGAGTGCAACGACAAGAATGCCTTTGATAAGTTTGCTATCCCTATTTGTATGACTAATTACGCTGGGACTACAAAGATGTGCAAAGGACACAGTTCTTGTAGAGAGATCAGGGAGGTGGATGGTCTTTCGATGTGATTTATGAGATGGGACAACACATTGTATGACCTTGTTTGTTTGAAACATTCTGAACCCTTAAGCCATCTGGGGACCATGAATGCGAATCTGACCTGTAGTTGTTGAGATATCTTACACTGGACCAAAGAGTTTGTCATTTGATAAAACAATTATTTGTAGTTTATTTTAGCAACTACACCTCACACAAGGTTTTGAAACAATATTTTATAGAACAAAGACTAGCTTAAACATCTAATGTGCAGTTACAGGATATTCTCTTGTTTTGCTATCCCAGACCCCTCAGTCTAGATGCTCAGAGCGTTGTGCCCCTGGCTCGGTAAAGAAGATCTTAAACGTATCCTGCTGTTATAATTGCACCCAATGTACGGAGGGGACCTATTCAGATGCCTGGGGTATGCCTGATTGACATGCTGATTTTACATTCTAACTTAATTTTAGCTTCAAAATGCAAACTAACTTGTTTATAATGGAGCCCTTACACATGACCTTATTTAACCTAATATCTACCTCAATACTCTTTTCAAACAGATCTTCATGCCTGCAAAAAGTGTCCCAGTGGAACTTGGTCTCTCAAAGGTTGGACTCAGTGCAAGCCAAGATGGGAGTCCTACCTGCACTGGTATGATCCTCATCCCATCACCATGATGGCAGCTGCAGCCTTTGGCATCTTGCTGTTGTTTGTTATCTTCATTATGTTTTTGGTGTACCGAAATTACCCACCTATGAAAAGAGCTGAGGTGAGATTGTCCTGTGTGATGATGGCTGGTCTGGCAGTGAGCTTCGCAAGTGTGATATGCTTCATGGGCAAGCCCAGTGTACACCTCTGCCGGGCCCGCCAGCTGATGTATGCGATGGGCTTCACCCTGTGCGTGTCCTGTATTCTAGTAAAGGCCTACCGTACCTTCCTGGCTTTCCTTCCCTTTGGTCAGATGACAAACAGACAACTACACAAACTTTACAAGCCCCATGTAATTGTCTCTGTCATCACTGCTCTGCAGGGAATAATCTGTCTTCTCTGGATGATCTTTGATTCTCCTGATATTGATGACACACCTCCATCCGCACAAAGCATGAAGAACATAATCCAGTGTAGTGAAGGTGCCACATACATAGGATTTGGTATTATGTTGAGCTACATAGCTCTGCTAGCATTGATTGGCTTCCTCTTGGCCTTCAAAAGCAGGAAGGTGCCTCAGGAGTTCAGTGAAACAGGCTACATCATTTTCAGCATGCTGATGTACTTGTTTGTATGGGTGTGTTTTATCCCAGTCTATATCACCAACAATGAAGAAGGCACTGCTGTTCAGGCTTCAGCCATTCTAGTATCCAGCTATGGCATCATCTTTTGCCATTTTTTACCCAAATGCTATGAAGCACTTTTCGGGTCCAAGACCAATACATTAGAGAGGATTCTGAAGAGATGGCGAGCCCAAAGTCCAAATCTTGAGTCAGAGGGAGGGATAGATATAGATACCCCCGGAATGAACATACCATCACTAACGAGTGCCAGGTTTTCCATATCAAGTATGACAACTATATTGAGGAGCTCAGAGACACTAAGCGATGTCACCCCTACTGGTTCAGAATTGGTCATAGTGCCTATGTCCAGTGAAAAGATTCGTGCCTACCCTCTGTCTAACAGGCCAAGAACAAAAATGATAAGGAGACGACGCAGGAGTATATCCTTCTAAAACTGGTTCCTGAAAAATTTTATGTACACTAATATTCATATATTAGTTTCCCTTTTTAAAATCTATCTTTTGTAATATATTTTGTATGTATGTCTGTAAATCCATGTAAAGTTAATATATGATTTCTGCTGAAAACTGTGGTGTTCTTCAAGAAAAAAAATAATAAAGAAGATGAGTCATTTGTACTGTATACAAGGTATTAAAACAAAGATACTTTTTAAATGCCTGTTGTTGACATGGTATGTAAACAACAGAGCGGGTCGTTTCTTAATCGGAATGTTGTGGGTTCGATCCCCAGCTCCTGGTACCACATGTCGAAGTATCCTTGAGCGAGATACTGAACCCTGAATTGCTCACGATGCTGTGAGTGTGTACGAATGTTAGTTTCTGTTCGATGGACTATGCCATCACTGAGTGAATATGTGTGAAAGGGTGAATGTGGCACATAGTGTAAAAGTGCTTTGAGTGGTCGGAAGACTAGAAAGGAAAGTACAGGTCCATTTACCATTTACCATTAGTGTATATTCACCTGAATGTAGTGTGAATTGTTGTGTCTTCGGTACGTTAGAATGATCTTGAATGATGAAGTTTATCTACAGATGCTGCGGGAAGTGGTGGATTAAGGTGGTAATGGGTCCTGTATATTAAAATGACTTAAGGTGAAAATATACATCGCTATTTTATTCTATTGAAAGCATTAATTTATCATGGATGTTCAAGTATACAGGGAGTATCGCTGTCAAAAAAGTTGGAAACTCCTCATTTAAAGGCTGACAAGTAGCCTGTGGAGTTGGTACCTTGTAGTCTTGTAACCAAACAGCCATTTTTTTTTTTTTTGCATTAAGTGCATTCTCACTAAAACACATTTATGCACAAATTTGATGAATGTGTTTTCATCTTCATAAAAGATCCACATTCACTAGCTTGCAGCTTCCTTATTCCCTGACTTTTCTGGGGCATTAAAGCAGTTCTTGGCACTTTACCACCACTTGTAGATAAATGGAATAATGTGAAACCCTTAGGAGGACTGTGTATTGTGTCACCTATGCATGCGATAAACAAAAGGGAAATTAAAAGAAAAAACTAATTGCTCCATAGCGCTACTAAAGGTCCACGGGGAACCTTTAACAGACACTAAAGGACTGCACCATATTTATAATACTCAGAGACAGGATTTCACAACTCTGGCAACTCTTTCTTTGCAACAATTGTGAGATGAACAACCTTTTCATGTTCCAGACTTATCCACCAGTAATGTGGGCTTGCATGTATTTGATTGGTTTTTGCAGTGTATTGGCAAAAGTTCAGCTTTTGTGGTGTGATGACCCCTCCTACTTTTTCTGTGTGTTTCCCCTTCCTCTGTGCAAGAGAGTGGCACGGGTGTGGCTGGAGGATGAGCTACACCTGAGTTAACTTGCTCGCAGATTGCTAGGCTATATAGGGAGCTGAACCTGTTAGTTATGTCTCTCTCCTCCCAGCCAGCAGGTTATTGGTTTGTTTGTGTTTTGGGTTTACTTGTTTTTCACATTACCTTTTTTACCTACACCGCCCTAGGCCCATATCCACACACTCACTACGCTACTGACAACACTGATTTACATATTTTTATACTTGGTGTATAGTTTAATATTGGTTAAATAAATATATTTTGTTTTAAAAACCTTAATTATCCGTGTGGTCTCTCTTGTTTTGTCTGAACAATTCAATTTTATTTGTATAGCGCCAATTCATAACAGAAGTTATCTCAGGACACTTTTCAAATAGAGCAGGTCTAGACCGAACTCTTTAAAACATTAATTACAGAGACCCAACAGTACCACCATGAGCAAGCACTTGGCGACAAGGGCAAGGAAAAACTGCCTGTTAAAAGGCAGAAACCTAGGACAGACCCTCCGGCTCTAGGTGGGTGGTCGTCTGCCTCGACCAGTTGGGGTGGGGTCATGACAGTGGTGCCTTCTGGTCTCATTCAAAATAATGACAGGGCTGGTTTTTAAATGTAAATCTAGAGCTGGTCTGAATGGGGTCTAACAAGATTGTTCAGTGCATGTGTTGCCCCAGGGGGCAGTTAAAATTACATATTTTGTGGTTTATTAGGGGACTTAATGCAATAAAAAGTTGCTGTTGTGACATCCCTTACAGTCAAAACACATGAGACCGCGTGTACATATATATGTAACTTTTCAACATGTGGTTTTGGAATATTTTTGTGGTGTAATGTGTGAAGCCTATGTACATTCCCATGTGAAACCTATGTGATTGTGTTGCAACATGTGGTGCCATGATTTCCTGTGATCACATATGGGATTTTTTGGATTTTTCTGTGGTGACAGTGAGCGCTCCTTCACCTGGGGTTTTCATCTAATCTGTTCACTGTGAGCATGTAGAAAATACATAAGGCTTCAAAACAACACACAGGCCTTTTTCCCAGCAGACATTTTGACTTGACTCAAAAGCACAGGTGTTCCTTCTAACATTATTGATTGCTCTGTTGTATTCAAGTGTGACATTAATTTAGCATTCAGAACACAAGGACCCTGAAACTGAAGCAGCTAATTGATTTTATTATTTAACACTCTTTCCTGTTTCATTTTTACACAGGTCATAGCTGTTTTTTTGATACAGGAAGGGGTTGCGTGTTGTTTTAAATGTCTGTAAGTGCTTTTAAGTGTTTCAGTCCCACAATTTTCTGAGTTCAAATATTTTTATTTTATGGATTTTCCAAGCAAATATTGATATACGTGATTGTGATTAAATCTGCATATATTTCTGCCACCCCTTAAAATCTGCATACCACCTTCTGGACACACATGAATATTTATCTAGATCTGCCTATGTTTAGTGCTGGTAGTTGGGTAATACCAGTTCAATAGGGAAATGAGAGAGATGTGGAGCAGTCATAGACATTCCTGTACAGACCATCAGAAACATGCATAATATGAGAATAATATAGACATACGATAACCAGGTTTGTTATGTTTCATATTATTTTCCTGCTTCATAAAAAAAAAAATCACTCAATTATCATAGAGGTGGCAAAAGTACACACATTCTTTACCCAAGTAGAAGTACAGATACTAGTGTAAAAAAAAGACTCCCTTCTTGTCTGTTTTGTCTTGTTTGAGATGTCTGTCATGTGTGACATGCAGTGGTCTTGATGTTTATCAATAATTATTATAATTATTGAATTAAAACTAAATTAATGAGACTTTAAACTGTAAGGAGTAGAAAGTACAGATATTTGTGTTAAAATGTAGCAAAAGTCAAAGGTTGTAAGAAAACAAAATAGTCAAGTAAATTCAAGTGCCTTGAAGAGATACCAAAAATTACTTAAGTACAGTAACAAAATATTGTTTTTACTATAAAAGATTATAATGAAAAGATCAAGGCAGAGGAAGCCTGGCCTAATACAAAATGTCCAGAAACAGCACTGTATGTACAGAAGGGTTTGTGGAAAATGCAAAATGGAGTCTTATTCTATTCATTATGACCCATTCTTAAACCTCATATTCCTCCACACACCAGTAATAGCTCCTGGTATCCCTGACCAGTCTGTCCTCAGCGTCAGAGTTTTGCAACTTTCTTGTTGTGCAAGCCAGAGAGAAAAATCTGGAAGGGAAACATCCGAGAATAGTGCAGCACAGCCATCTGAGACTGTTACATAAGTGTCAGCCTATCACCACTGATCCAACTCAGAGATATTAAAGCCCATTGGCCTGCCGACACACAGACACACTGGCCACGCACAGCCGATGACTTGTCCTTCTCACTGATGATCAGAAAAGATAATTTTCTCTCTGATTAAGCCAGCATCCCTCTTCCAGCCTATTTTTTCAGCCTTACCAGAAATGGTTGAATACTTCCTTTTAACAGCAATGCTAGGAAGCCAGCATTCTGTTCTTTCCAGCTCTTATTTCTCATTTTGTTTTCTCAAGCCACAATGCAGCTATTGTCGCTGACAGTATCTTGCCATTCCTGTTGTTAGGTGGCTGAACCACTATTAAATAGAGATTAGAGCAAGTTATCTTAAATCTAGTTAGCAGATAGCATTTCAGATCTGGATGTGATCACTGTTTTACACCCATGCATTTGTTTAAGAATGTAAGATACAGTGTCATTGACAACAACGGAATGTGTGTTTGGTTATATTGAAATAAACAGATAAACTAATACAAATCTTCTCACCTCACTAAGTAAGTGCACAGCAGCGAGCTAAACACACTTGCAATAAAGTATGAAGACAGCGGTTTGCCTTTGAGGTTTTTACTGGAAGCAACCAATTCAATTACAGTGATTTACAAATCATAAAATAATGGGATTTAATAAACAAGAGCTACACCAAAGTTAATGTAAAAATGTGTTTGTATAGTAAAAAAAACTAATAATACATACTTGATAAATAGAGAAACATAACCTAACAAAGAAAATAAATATACAAGACAACTATAAGCTCGGTTTGCTGCAATTCTAAGATAGCAGCATTTACTCTGAAAACAACTATTACTAAGTGCTAGCTTGATGAAATCAATAAACTGATAGGAGAAGATTATAAGACATAATAACATTGCAGGATAATGAATGGGCCAAAAGAAATGACACCCACCTCTCCCACAGGGGAATTCAAAAGGGAGTGGAATTAAATTAAAGGTATAAACTGTATTTTGGGCTGCAGGTAATAAGTGGATTATAATATAATAATAATGTTTTTTAATGAATAACACAAAGTAAACTTAATTCTAGTTCAAAATAAAACAGTGGAATTATTCCTTTTTGTGTGATGACTGCTATAGTAAAAGCTTTAGGACGAGGATTTGACTTGAACATCACTGATGTTTAAGGTGGAACTGCTTTATTCAGTGTTTTTAACGGTTTTAATCAGCGGGTTCCAGTTTGTTTTGGAGAGGAGGAGACCTCTGTGAATAATTGGGCTTTAAGTATTCCAATATATAATGACTACAATACATTATACTATGATGGCGCATGTCTTGGGTAGCTTCATCAATAAAAATTTATCATATTCTATCAGCCGATCATATGTAAAATCTGAAGTAAAAGTAATTTACTCAATGTAGTGGACATAAAGTACAATGTTGTAGTGTGGACTAGAAGTATAACTACTCAAAGAAAGCATCTCAAAATTGTATTCACTAAAGTCTACTAAACTACAAACAACACATGAAGCAGACGTCAGACCTCCAGCAGTTTAAGCTCCTTAACTGCTCTGTTGACAGCTTGCCCAGTTCTTGTTATTGTGATACACCTGGGGCGTGGGTGGCAAGGAGTACAAATATGCTCAGGCTTTCTGGGATTCTGTGAGGCCTTGGTTAACTGAGAGTGCAGGTTTTTTTTTATAAATTATGTTAATCCCTGGGAGAGACCCTGCTTGTTTTCAGCAAAGGCCTGTCCAACATACAGTTACATTACATTCAGTGTCTGGAATTAGCTTTTTGGGTCATCTACTATCTGTGAGAATAAAGTCATTGCCAGAATTAGGCACCACAGTCTTATACTACAGTATATGTTTAGTATTGTGCCATATCAGTAGGACATGGCATACAAATCAAATCTAGAATTCACAGAAAATGGAACTGAATGGTGCACCGGTAGAGAAAATATGAACTAAGTATATCATACAAAATTTACAAAGAATATCAAAATAACAAATATACTTTAACTTTTTACACTGTCACTCTAGATTTTAATATGAATCTTATATTCATGTCATTGCAGGTATGTGCACTTTACACAGTGGCTCAACAGGTTTTATTTTTATATCCTGGTCACCTGTGGAATCTTCTTGTAAACAAACAAAAGTTATGTTTACATTCAGTGTCATTCACCTAACTAACTAATTGTATGTGTCAAACTATGACAAAAGTGTTAAAAAGCTTTTCTTTCCGCATAAAACATTTGCAAAGATTTATCAAATCCAGCATTGTTTCTGTCCATGTTATATAGCTAGAAGTCGGTTTCTTCCCTCTCTTTGTCGGTGCATTGCTGCATATGTTGGTATGTTACCACCACCTGTAGATCAGTGTAACAGTATTAAACCATTGGGAGGAATGTGTATGCGTCACCCATGTGCGCGTGCCTATGTAGGTTGAGATAAACAAAACGGGGAGCTCAGCTCCACAGCACTACTGTAGGTAGTACCGATTAGTGGACGACCCGCTCTTCCTCTAAGCCATGCAATGTAGAATTTTTTAACCATCTAGGCCATATGTTTGTGTTCAAAAATGAAAGCATACTGCACATGAAGGCACATTAAAAGGTGGATTAAGAGCACTAGTGGAGTAAGGGGACCTCTTGGTGACACATGCAACGTTGGATACCCCTATGGTGGTTTTTTCGACCTCTGCCCCTCAAACAGTTGGAGTCTGCCCCTGGCTAAGATCTTAAGAGTAGTGTAGTTCCCACACCCTGACACCAAGAAGTTCTCCAAGTCAAACCTTATTGGTCCATGCCCTTCAGCACAAAAAGCACTTGGTAAGGGAATGATCATGGTTTGGTTTAAAATTACTAGTTTGTGTGAAAATAATGGTTACTATAATAATCACAAGGTTAAAATAAATGTAGTTTTTTTAAAAGTCTGATGGTTTGTTGACCCTACCTTCTACATAGGGGCATTCTTGCATAAACAAAATAAATTAATTTATTAAGGCAGACAACACTTTAAAAATTTCGATTAAAATTTTTTTTTTAAAGGTTAAAAAAAATCCCCCTTTTTTATATATTTTTTCATAAAAGGAATGAAAGGAGGCTGTTAAGCCTGTCCATTTGTGTATGTGCAAGGTTATTTTAGGGGCTGGATAAATTAACTTAACTAGCCTGAATTTCTGGGTGATGATTATATTTGGTCAAGAGATTTCCTGCTTTAGGTCAAGAGCAGAAAACTGTCATTGTGACATGAAGGTATGCCAACAAAACATATCGAGCGTGACAGGAATTTATGCTGAGGACTGGGCAGAAAAAAGATCACTATCTCGCTTCCTCATTTTCTCAGAAAAGTCTTGGCATCGAACTGGCACCTTTTCCCAGCATTTACAGTAAAGGGTAGGTGTATGTGTGAGTAATTTTAGGACAGCCATAATGCATCTACACAAAGTGAATCTGTATATTTTTGGCAGTCTTATAATAGTTTTCAAAAAAACAGAGTTGTTTATCTCTCAGTTGTACCTGTAAACAGCACAGTGGATGAGGCTAAAAGCACCACCTGACAAACCCTTCTCTGATTAACCTGATGAGCTTAAAGTCTTACATGTAAGTGTCTGTATGTGTATGTGTGTGCGACTGTGTGTATTGATGCACTTAACATGACCATCTGTGCGTGCTGAAGGAAAGAGAGGGAAGAAACCTCCTAAATCCGTATTATCCTCTTAGCTCCTTACCATGGCAAGCCCTGATAGGTGGTCAGTTCACTCGACAGATTGCAGGTGTCTTTCCAACACTGTTTGATTGTAGAATTCTGAGAAGAAAGTATACAAGGATGGAAGAAATACATGAAAACTAGCATGTGGAGGCTGGACTGCCAAAGCCACTGTTGGAGGATTCTAAAAGACTTGTCTAACCAGCTTCGGAGATCCTTACCTATGGATTTACACGTTGGCCTTACCTTTTCCTCCTGACTATTTTGTTTCTTCAGCAAAAGATAAGTTTTTCTTGAATATAATTTTAATGCAAAAATGGGCTGCTCTCCATCCAAAGGGAAGTTATTTTCAAAGCCAGAAGGCCCACAATCTCTAAAGGCGCTGGTGGCTGAAGCCTCACAGGATGGTAATGATTCTAGACCTGTAGAGGAGGAGAGCAATTTTTTGAAGACTGATGAGAAAGAAAATGAACCTCCACTACCTACCGAAGAACCTCCTATGGAAGAGACTGCATGGTCTCAGTTGGCCTCCAATACAACAGCTGCCCAAAATGCAGAGGAAATTAAAGGAACAGAGGTGAATGTGACATCCCAAGAGATAGTCAATGAGGTTGTGCAAACAGATAAGATTAAAAGGACAGAGAAAAGAAAGAAAAATAAAGGCAAGAGAAGGTTCGAAAAGCAGAGGTCCTCTATTCTTCAGGCAAAGGTAGACTTCCCACCACACATGGTGAGGGCTCACCAGGCAGCCTATGCCTTTCTGAACCCAAATATCTCCAAATATGAGACACTGTTAGGCCTGCTGGACCAAGCAGCCCAGACACAGTTGTCCCTTCAGCCCATGATGACTGCTTTTGTGTTGCGCTTTGAGGAGATCAATCAGGCCCTAGAGGAGATGGCAGAGGAGGGGGAGCTGATGTTGAAGGAGCATGGGGACTACATGGCCTTGCCTTCTGGTATGAGGGGCCAAGCTGTTATGCAAGCTAAACCTAGCATGGCCACAGCCAGCCCCCCTGATCCACCTCCAGATCTGTTACAGCAACTTCTTCAGCATTCAACAGAGAAAATTAGGCTTGTGGGGGGTTCGGTCCAGGTACTGGGTGACACCACGCTTCAGGACGCAGTGGAGTACTTTTCTTCTGTTTCTAAGCTGCTAGTTGAGAAACTGCAGGCGAAGCAGGTAGCGGAACAGAGGTTGACTCAAGTGCTGGCACTGGTAGAGGGGGCTGCATTGAGGAAGTCTAACCCAGAGGATTCAGCACTGCACAGTGAGGACAGTGGGATTGGGGGGGAAAACGAGAGTCTGACAGGGTCTGAGAGGCACCGCCACCACCGAGGGAGTGCTGGATCTGGAAGTTGTGGCTCTGGAATTAACATTCGTGGTGCATTTGATACTATGCCCAGTAATTCACCCAACCTGGAAGGCCATAATGAAGATGATGAAGAGGACGAGGAGGAAGACGATGATGATGATGATGAAGAGTATGAAGATAATGAAGGTGATAGGCCTCAGAAGAAGAGGTCAAATTCTTCCCCACCAGATCCCAGTCAACCTATTCTCTACATGCAGGATCAGCAGTCTACAGTCGGACGTCCCCGGACTGCTGTCACTGCAACCAAACCTGAACACTCCTCATCCACTAGATGTGTAAACATAATGATGGAGCTACAAAACAGCCAGAGGGACTTGGATCAGCGAATGAAAAAGATGACTGAAACCCGAGGATACAAAGAATTAGCAGGACCTCATTATAACCTGTATAGGGCGGGACTAAGACGGCATTCATTAAGTGGATCAACAGGTTCACAAAAAGGCCCCCTTAGAGCAAATCAGTCACCTTGTTCCTTACCAGCTTTAACACCCCAACCACCTAAGCGCCAGTCAGTCAGAAGGCTGATAAATACCTTTAGCCAAGGGGTTGATGGTAGACCAGGGCAGAGCCTAGATAATATTCCACCTCATATCAGGAGGCCCAGGAAAAGTGGGATCCTTCTGTCATCTGGCACACTAAATGTTAATGAGGGGGGTTTAGTCATCAATGGCAACAATAACAACAACAGCTGGCCTGACAGCAGGGATGACCTGGATGTAGAAAACTTACCACCTCCACCCCCAGAGGTTCTGATGGACAATTCCTTCCAGAGTACTGAGGGCATACCAGGAAATGAGGGAAGGTCAAAGGAAGATTCAGTTCGAAGTCTCCCAATGATAAATCAAAACACCGGGGTCTCCCAGCGCCTGAAGGCATCCCTGCAAAATGTTGAAGTACTGCCAAGCCGTGCCAGCATAAAACCAAGATCTATCACTATCTTGCCTGCCCGCCCTGTCAGGCAGGGTGCAGTTATGGAGGTGCCAGATACAGAACAGCAACAAGAAACTGATCTGGATCCTGAAATGGAGAAGGCTAACTCTCTCTACCAACAGGCACGTAAGATCATTCACCTGTGCAATGCAGCAGAAACTGCTGACAAGAGAAATATTGCAGAACTAAGTAGCAGAGGACCTTTACCCCCTCAAGCCAGGATGGGCCAGAGATGTGAAAGCAATGAATTTTATGAGTCTGAGATGTCCTCTCCCAGCCTGCCTGTGACAGCACCACCTGTCTCTAGAGTCCGCCTACCACCATCTTGTCCCTCTGTGTGCCACAGATTTCCAAGCCCTCCTGTGCTCAGACCTCAGACCACCTCTAGGCCCTCATCTCGCCCAGGTTCTCCGAAAACAGTGACACGTGCCACAGATAACAACACCGAAGAGATCATTCCATCTGTGTCCTTTAAAGATGCCCGTTCAGTCTTCTGTCTAAAAGAGTCTCAAAACTCTCAGAACTGCATTTCCTCTGGAAGTTCTATTCTTCCCAGACCATGGGGAGAGACCTCCCGAGGCAGGCTACCAATGAGGAGGATAGACAGCTCTACCCGTCGCACCCAATCAGAACAGAGGCCTAGTTCGACTTCCCATTCAGAGCCTCCCAAAGCTGGCAGCTCAGCCTCTAGCCAGGCCAATGAGAGTGAGTCTGTTACCACAAAATATAGGTAAGTTATATCACAAAGTTGTGGGTCCAGGTCAGCGCTTGTCTTTTGTCCTGCTTTTTTGCCATTAAAGAAAAAAACATTTTATGACTGATCAATACCAGTCATGCTTGACAAAAGTGTTTACTTGAGTTTTGAGTCATCTCTAACCCTGTATTACGTTCCCACCTTTGTATTGCAACTGTTGCACAGTAATTTCCCTCAGGATAGATAAAGCTTCTTGAATCTTGAATCTTGAATCTTTAGATACTACAGGCAAATCTGATTTACATATATATTTTATATAACGCATAACTATGACAACTGGGCTTCCATGTTGCTACTCTATAAATATTGACATAGATGGTCGATATTGCTGAATACAAATGAAAGAAGGCTTAGATCCTTGTGATTAGGGTTTTTTTTTTGGTGTAATTAAAGCACCTAGTTAGTTTGACCTGTGGTTGTTTACTTTAAATCCACACAGATGGCTCCTGCCTGTGTTACTGTTTAAGTGAATGACATTGGCACGTCTGACCATCTGCATTCCCAGCAGAAACAAAACAGATCAGATAACACACAACTGGTTTACTTATATGCGCTACACCAGATGTCCTGCTTTATTTGTGAAAAAGTGCTCAAGTTTTTTCAGAGCTGTGACACAAGGCATCTTGTCATTGTAACTGAATCATAAACCGATGATTTGAGCCTGTTTAGGCCTGACTTATGCCTTAAACTTATGTTGTGAGAAAATCAAACTGCATCAAGACAATAAGAACAAAAGACTTTGCACTGCCAAATTACAACCATCATGCCATGTCACACGTAAGAAGCTTTTTTAAATTCTTTATTCAGTGAAAGGTGGCTTTGTACAAACAGGTAAAACAAGTAAGTGACTAGACAAAAGGAAGGATGACACATAGTACACACTGCAGGTGATAGGAGAATAGAGTAGCGTAGGGACTCTAGGTGGTAAAAGTTGAACACAAATGCAAACAAATAACCAAAAAATAAAAAATAGACACAGAGAAGTATATTAAAAAGTACATCTTTGTTCATGTAATATGCTACTGTAATTATTTGCTGAGTTAGCAGGATATATGCCAATGCATCTATACATGTTCTTATACTTGGGGACAGAAAAAATAAAACAAAGAAATAAATAAGCAAATAAATTTAAGGAAATTAATTTATCAAGAAAAGCTGGAAGATGGGGTTATATTGGTTGCGTAATGTGTGGAACCACAAAACCATTGAAAGATGGGCATCTGCCCCATACCCTATACCCCTGGGGCCCCAAAGTCCCATATTGATTATGTGTCAGTTAGCTGTACACAATGCAATTTCTCGAAGAATTGAGGTACAATATCAAGTAAGGCATTCAAATTTAAACCAGCACTCCAGGTATGTAGTATTGCACTTCCATGAAGTCAGAGCAGGAAAACAAAACAGTTTCAGTCCCTAGTGTGGGCCAAGCTCCAAAAGCCATGGGTCCTACACTTCACATAATGCAACTTTATAGCAGCTTTCATTAGACTGTGGGATATATTTCTCAAATTTTTGGCCTTGTTTGGTAGAGACGTGTGTAAATATAGTTTTAAGACATTTTATGTTGTGCTCATTTGGTTCGTTCTAAAATTAGTGACGCACAGAGCACATAAGGTGAACTCATGATTCCAGAGTACTGGTCGGAGAACTAGCTGTCTGAGTATCAGGACATTTAAGGAAGCTGCTATGAATAGTCTGCTGTGTTTTATGGGAATTTGGAGGCAAAAGGGTTCATATTCAATTCACAGAGGTCAGGAAGTTTTTCTTATACATTTATTCTTATTTTTTTTGTTTATACCATAGTTTAAAATTTATATTAGTGTAGAGCTTTACCTCTGAAGAGATTAACCGTAGGGATCTAGTCAGATTCTATCACGAGGTGTTGGACACCTGCAGTAAAAGCTTTTTCAAACAGTTTAACTCTAATTCGAACCTACAGTCACGGTGTCCGGTTGTATGTTACCAGCTCATCTCCTGCATCCAGAGAAACCACCTGGCCTAATCCAGATTGGATTAGCCCTCCTACCCCACCTCTCCACCCCTGTGGTTAGGTGAACTCCTCGGCCTGCTAGCCCACATAATCCACTCATGCGCTAAAACTGCTTCCCCCCTCCTTTCTTGCTTTCCTACAGGCCAGGCAGCCCTCTGATGAGAGGAGACAACGCCCAGTTGGATCCAAGTGCCACTGTGACGACAGCCTAGAGCCCGGCTGTGATTGGCCAGGGTTTCTAAAGTGAAATGTGAGGAGGGAAGGGAATGGAATGGAGAAAGGGATTATGGATTAGCAGGATTGTGAGGTTTAGCCCCTTTCTTTTTTCTTTCCTTTTCTGACTAAAGGATTTTGTTCCAAGTGTGGGTTTTAGATACATCTATAATATTCATTCAAGCGGTTTTAAGCACATGAACATTTTAATTTACTTCTGAAAACATTGTCAGAAGAATTCATCTGTATCAGTTTTTAGAAGTGCGTACTTAATTTAAACTGAATGTTGAATCTATAATCTACCTTGAATTTGTTTAAAGTCAAAGATATATGTAAAAATGTTGTTATTGCAGCCATTAGCACCACCAATTTTCCAGATTCCCTCTAGGCTCACAGCTGAACTTCAGAGCTGGGAGACAATTGGGGATTTGGAAGTTCTATTGGCTGCTATACCAAATACAGTATGCCTATAATTTACATAATTATCAGATGTACTCAAGTGTTTGTAAATGTCTTTTATTTTGTGTTTGGACAGTTTGCACTAGCTTTCTATTTGTGTTAAACCATGTTTTCTACCTCGACTACAACCCAATAAAAGAGGAAAAATCTGCCCCAAGTTTTATTGAGTTTTCTTGAAAATGTGTATGTTTATGGGAATATTCAGGGCCTATCAGTGCAATAATGTCATGAAAGCTACTCCACAGGGTACCTTTAAGGGGGTTCAGTACTCTGTATTATACTACCAGAAAGATGAGGGGAAATGGATACAATTGAAGCAGCAGACGAAGAGATATCCTAACTTTTAGTTCCTCTGTAAAGATCCAAAAACACTGGTTCCTACATTTCCCATAAAGCAACTGTAATTAGTTTGACTTTGTAAATGCACACCCCCAGTGTGTGAGACAGGCTTTCTGTTGTAAATGTGAATTCTTAGGCCATAGAAGACATATTTAGTACTCCACATGACTTTTAAACTAAGTTTTACATCTGTGGAGCACTACCCTGTTGATTGGTTATGTTATGGCATTAATATGCTAGCAGGGCTGGAGATAAACAATATGGTGACATTCATTAAAAACATGTTCTATAATACCAAAAAACCCCAAGGGTATCTTTATACCGTCTCTCTATAGCAGTGGTTCACAATCTTTTTCCTTAAGGGAGCCCTTTTCTATCATTGAGTAAACTGACTCAATGGCATATTTTATGGATATTTTATTATATATTTATTAAAATATTCAATGTATAACAATAACATTAGATAACAACTGATACACTTTACAACGAACCTCAACAGTGAACACAATAACTGCAGGAAGTTTGGTTAAAACCAGAGATTTGGATGAATTTTAAGCAAATTATTTCCTGTGAAATGAGGTTTCCTGAGATTTTTGTGAGCCTTTTGTTCTATTAGCTCTTTGGTTGTGTAAACCTTTCTCATGCAGGATGAGGCTGTTTGTGAACTGAAGGCTCTGTGAATATAGCTTGTCTTTAGGTCTTCACTGTGCCCTTATCCTATGAGATTTTTTTTTATACCTTAAATAAAATGTTAAACTTTAAAAATAACAATTGCATTTAGTTTTAGTTTAGTCTTAACAGAAATACATGAAATACATGCCAACTGTGTGATTTAAAAAAAAAAATTTCTTACACCTGTTAAAAATCAAGAAGGCCTCGCGAAGCAGTCCCTAGTGGGTGCTCATATGTGACTCTGATCTGTTTTTTTAATGACAAGCACAACACATGGATTCTGGTCTTTTCAGCTGATTTAGGCACCTTTCATATGTGGTCTAAATCAAACATAGGTCAGATTTTATGCAATGTGACCTTAGTGTCATATCAGAATGTATGTGACTTTAACAGCACTCTAGATAAACATTATTATGCCTGTTCACACTGTAGTCTGATGGGCCACATTTAACAAATAATGTGAACAGCCAAACAAAATCAATCAGATCCGAGCAAAATCTCAGAACTGACCGCTAAGGCTAGCATGACTGCTACACATCCCAGACAGGTGGCCCTCCACTCCAGTCACCAGTAACCCAAATCTCTTTCCAACTACCAGGATGACCGCATAACTTATAACCTAAAATCCTAGAAAGGAGGCCAATTACTATATGGTTCCCTTTACTAAAGATTCACTGGGATTTTTCAGCTCAGTCAGGTGGGAAATGAATGATAATCACATACCACCACAGCATATAAATATCAACAAATAGGAGCTACAGCCTGTATAGAGTTAAGTATTACTATGGATCTTTGTGTAGAAATGCTGCCATCTGCTGTCTTGCATCTCCAGGAGGACACACTTGAGTTGTCCTATTCTATTTAGATTCCTTGCTCCTTCTCTGTGAGCTTCAGGTTCATTGATTGATTTCATCTCTGCTTTCAAGTGTTTTATTTTTAGTTTTTTTTGTAAAACATTTAATTTCTATTAGAATTTTATTGTATTTGCCCTCATATATGATTAGTTTCCCCATTTCATATAGTGTACAAAAATATCTTATCAGCGTATAACCAATTGTAAATGTGCAATTATAATTTTAAGTAGTGTGTGCAAGGAGTTGTGCATAGCAGGTTAGGTTAAGCAGTCTTAATCAGCGGAGGTTGGAGCTACTGGGTGCTGTGGCTATAAAAATTGGCATTTCTTTTCCTTTTTAATGCTGCAGTAGTTAACTTAAAAATAACTTTTTGTCATATTTGCAGAAAATTTCACTGTGTCCTGACAGTAGTACATGAGACAGATAATTTGAAAAAATCAGGTTCCTCTGGCTCCTGCTAGTGCTCCTGGGTCTGAAGAAAACAACCAATCAGAGCCAAGAAAGTTAGTTGATTGTCTCATTCACAGGTTATCGAGAGGCACCTGGCTGCAGGCCTCCACTGTGAGGTCGCTTCCGGTGCAGGCTCCACTGTTAGAACACCTCCACTGTCAGGACGGGAAGTGGGCTTGGATTTTCCTTTCAGAAACGGGTATTAAAAACAGACAACGAGTGGTTATTTGATTTTCGTTTTAAAATACAAAAATTTAAATTGAAATACAAGGCGTTTTTCTTTTTCATGGTCAAAAAGGGATGAGCGAAATTTAAAAAATGATTCGATTTTCATTTTCTATTTCATATAACAAAAAATAAAATCACTAGAAAACAGAAACGGAAAAAAGGCCTGTATTTTCATATTCTGAGACCGGATGTTGTCATTTACAGGATGGTGCTGTGTAGAAGAAACAGTAGGCTAGTAGACTGCGGTCAATCCAGCCATGAGTCCGATCTCCGTGGTCAAATCAGCCGCACTTAAATTTAGAGTGTACAAGTATTCTCAGCATTATGGTAAATGCGGAGAAACAGTGTATTTACTTCTAAATAAACCATGAAAAAGAAAAACGCCTTGTATTTAAATTTTAATTTTTGTATTTTAAAACGAAAATCAAATAACCACTCGTTTTCTGTTTTTTAATACCCGTTTCTGAAAGGAAAATCCAATGACCAAAACATACACGGACCTACATGGCACATTTTATTTTTCCACCTCTGTTGTATACTACAGTATATAAACAAAACAAATAGTAACTGAAATTATTGAGAAATAGCATGCTTCTGCACCATCAGTACTTTTATTTTTGATACTTGAGTATATTTTGCTTCTAACATAACATACTAAATTACTTCAGTGTCTTGTTTTAGCCACTTTTACTTAAGTACGTTTTTGAATGCCGGACTTTAACCCGTAGTGCAGTATTTTCGTAGTCATTATTACTTCTTCTACATAAGTAAGGCCTCATTTACACTACCTGGTGCAAGTGGCCATTTTACATGTAAGCAAAGACAATCTAAGTTTGCAGGCTGTATACATTAATTTGAATTGAAGTTCATGTACTATAATTCAAACATGATGCATTTTCTATCCTTTTTAGATGCATCATTCAATCATTCCATCTGGTGGAAAGCCTGCAGTGGAACGCTGCACAACATGCTGCAGTCAGTTCCACTGCCCCCTTTGTCCCAAAGGCATGTATAATATTTATTTTGTTTCAGGTCAGAAACCAGCATTTCCATTTCCCTATTTTTCTTACCAATCTTTTTTCCAATTGTACTGCAATTGTGGGGTCGCTTTAAACAATATGCCATTCACAAGTTAAGGTCAGACCTGCTGTCTGCAGTTTAAAAGTGTCCAGATAATGTATGATTGGACATATTAGAGGAGGGCATTTTCTCAGGGCTTTTCTTTTTCTTCTTTTTGGAGCTTGTGTTTTGAATATTACAACTGATCATTTTGCTTATCTATATATTTTCAGGAAGAAGAGCAGCAGGCTGAGGTCTGCCACCAGTGGAAGGGGTAAGCTTTTTCACAGTATCTATTGGTCAGATACTGTTGGTGCAGCAGCTATGGACAGACATCTTTGTCTTTTCCATAGGACTTGGTTGAAGATCGCGTTCTTCGCAATTGCAGACATGCAGGGTTTGCATGCAGTGGGTTGAGGCCAACAAACAACTGTTATCTGCCAAAGTGGACCTGCCTGATGTTCTGTACACGGGGGAGGAGAACCAGGCTGAGGCTGCTCTGCAGTATGGAAGGGTGTGGAAAGATCAAGTGAAGACCATGAAAAGGAATCAATCCTGGAGCCCTTCAAATTCACATTTTACACACTGAGGACGTGGAGATTCTGTGAGGAAATAATGGACAAAAGAAATAATTTGGCCTATTGTCCACATCCACAACTTTTCCCCTCCTTATCTGTCCGACCTACTCCACATCGCCACCCCTTCCCGTTCCCTCAGATCTGCCTCCTCTGTCCACCTCTCTTTCCCTCCCACCCGTCTCGTCACCATGGGGAGCAGGGCTTTCAGCTGCTCTGCCCCCCGACTCTTGAAATCACTCCCACCGGACATCAGGAACCTGGACTCTCTCCCCCTCTTCAAATCAAGACTAAAAACTCACCAATTCAGAACTGCATACCCCACCTAACTATCTACATTGTCTTTTCTTATCTGTTTCTTATTTCTTACTGTCTTTATTTTTTATGTGTTGTACGGTGTCCTCGAGTGCCCAGAGAGGCGCCTTTAAATAAAATCTATTATTATTATTATTGTTGTGAATGTCACACAGATGAGTGAGTTTGTGTACGAGAATAAAGGACTACAGAACATTTGATCATGTTGTTTTTCTCATGGATTATACTGTAGATATCAAGAGTTAGGGTTGTATCTAGTGGTAGGTGTTCCAACAGCAGAAGAACATAATTAGCATAGACATAGAACCAAAAATTAAATTTATGGTGGTTAAGAATAAAAATGCAGAATAATACAACAGAAAAACAAATTGAAAAAAATATATAGAAAAAGAGCAGTGCAATAAAGTCAAAGTTAAATGATAATGAAAAGGCAGCAAAATACTGTATAGTACACAATAAAATGTATAGGCCTATGACATCTTATGAGATGTTGGCTTATGAAAATGAATAATAACTTAAAAGAAAATGTGTGCACTGACCAATGTTATTCCTGCCCTACATTGTTTTCCTTGATCAACTATTTGACCTCCTCTTTTCAAGATCCTCAGCTTTATAGTAGGCTACAAAGACAATTGAGCCCAGAGTCATATCACCCACCGT